CAGTTTGGATCATCAATGTGGGCTTCATAGTAGACTTACAGAGGCCTAATAAGACGCTCTAGTTGGAAAACCTAACTAGAGATAAGTTGATTACTTATAAAAAAATTAAGTCATCCGATAATTATAAACTTTTTTATTTTATACCATTGATCTATTTTTATTTTTTTAAATAAAAAAATAAAAATATTTTCAACAGTGGGTTCTACCTCACTATGAATCCCAATCCCCTCCCTATAACTCAAAACAAACGGGGCCTAAGGGTTCAAAAAATATTTGTAAGGGTAAAATTGTCCCTAAATTACTTTAAATATGAGAATTAGGATTTGATAAATCAAATATTAATAGGACTTATTAGAATATAAGAATATCTTATGAACTAATTGAGATACTACTATTTGAAAGAGGATTTTTTAATAAATTTCCCAATTAATAATGTAGCAAGTCTTAATTTTGTCCTTTAGAAATTTAAAAATCAACTTTAATTTTTGATTTAGTAATTGTGTAGCACCATAAATGTGGTATGAGATTCTGAATTCAAATATTATAAAAACGGGTTTGATATATTTGTGTTGCATCTTCCTCTATTAACAATAGTTGTGTGACAAAGGTGGTATTTAATAAAGTTGAAAACTAAAAAATAAAAATTAAATATTGAAGGTTAAATGTTGAATTTTTTAAGTTAAAAAATTATATGACATAAAATTAAATACTGAACTAAAATTAATTGTTTAATATGTACAAGAGTATATTTGAATTTTTTTTTTATTTTCAAATTTTATCTTTTAATTTTTATATTGTGATAGTGAGTAGGTGGTGGAGGAGGAGGCAACGACGGTATTAGCTATGTCACTAATGACAGTGGTGGTGGAGATTAAGAAATAGTGATTGTAGTGATGGTGGAAGAGTAATGTTACGGAGATTATAAAGAAAGAAAGAAGAACAAAAAGAGTAGTGACAGTGGTGTGATGATGGTGGTTATTATGGTGGTGGTGGAATGATGGTGGAAGTTGTGACAACCGAGGCAATAGTTGTGGCGGTGAATGGTTGTAATGGTGGTATAATAATGGCAGTAACGACTGTAGTAGTAGTGAAAATGATAGTGATACTTTTGACAATAATAACAATTATAATAAAGGTGTTGGTAATAGTAGTTATGGTGGCATGGTGGTAACGACAGTGATTGTGGTAGAGATGGTGGTGGTAATAGTAATAGTAGTGGTGGTGGCGGCGGCAGTGGTAGTCATGGTGATGGTGGCAACGATGATAGTGAGTTTATGATAAAATATGTCGATATTTATGTTTAGTTTTATAAATTTAATCAAAATTAAGTGAATTTTAAATCATTTAAATTCTTTTATTCTTTTTTAGCTTATATTTTAAGAGGCATTTTAATTTTTAAAGTGATACAAATTTTATGTGTCAAATGAACTTAATTAATTATCATTTAATAAATTTAGTTTTAACAACTGAAATACGTTATCAAACACTATCAAAATAAAAAATAAAAAATAAAAACAATTAGGAGATACATAAAAATAATTTATATTTTCAAAAGGGTTGGATGTTCAAGCCCATAGTGCCTACTACGGACCATGTTTTAATTATACAAATTGTTCATTTTGTAAGAACTTCTATGTATTATTTATGAAAAAGTTTAGGTTTCTCTTCAATATGAAATCAGATAAGAGCGTGCTGTTGGGTTTCGTGGGCCCACCACGAAGTTCATCCAAACCATTCAATGTTTAGGATTTGTCGAGTAGTTCATGACTTGTCGAGTAGTTCATCCTTGCCAAAAAAAAAAAAAAATTCACGTTAATCAAATATCAATAATTACTTGATCAAATTAAATTTGTGTCGACAATAACTTTGATTTTAAAAATAATTTATTGATACAAATGTGAGTTGATCAAGTGGCTATTAATATTCGATAAGCGTGATATTTTATAAGGATGAAATAATCGACAATTATTACACATTCAACAGTTTGGATCATCAATGTGGGCTTCATAGTAGACTTACAGAGGCCTAATAAGACGCTCTAGTTGGAAAACCTAACTAGAGATAAGTTGATTACTTATAAAAAAATTAAGTCATCCGATAATTATAAACTTTTTTATTTTATACCATTGATCTATTTTTATTTTTTTAAATAAAAAAATAAAAATATTTTCAACTTAATTTTTTCTTATCGATAATATACTAATACAATGGGCCAGGTTTCTCTTCAGTCAAAAATTTGACTGGAGCATGTTGTTGGGCTTGTGAGGGCTCACTACGAGTCCTGTTTCGATAATTTGAACCATTCAATGAGTAGAGCTCATCGAGAACTTTATCCCTATAAAAAATCATGTTGATCAGATATCAATAGCTACTTGATCGGATCAAATTTCTATCAACATTAAACATAATTTTCAAAATAAATTGTTGACAAAAATCTAATCCAATCAAGTAGCTATCGATATCCGATCAACGTGATTTTTTACATGAATAAAGTAATCGACAATTTCTACACATTAACGATTCAAATTATCGAAATAAGACTTGTGTTAAATCTCACAAATTTAATAATACTGTACAATTTACAAAATAGACTAAAAACAAACTAACCCATATACAATATCTTATAAAATAAACTGTTTGAATCACTACTCCCCGTAGGTCCAAACCTTCTCAAAATTTTGTACTCCCTTCATCCCAAAATGATAGTTTCGTTTGGGAAATCTAAAGCTGTGTTTGGCGTGGAATTTTAAACATGATTTTACACTCATATTTGAGTGTGATGTTTGGATACAATTTTCAAAATTGATTTCACATTCATTGGTGAAAACATGTCTACCTGGTCATCCTCCCGGACGTTCAGTCGATCGTTCGGCCGGTTGACCAGTCGGTTGACCGGAACAGTGTTCATTTTTTTTTAACACCTGTTATTTTATGTTTTAAATAAAAAATATTTTCAGATTTTTTTTAAAATTTTTTTATGAGTTTTGAATAGAATTTTAGATTGTGTGTTTAGTTATGAGTTGTAAATTTTTGAATCAAATATCATGTATCACATCAAAATTTTCAAACTCAATTCAAAACTCATAACAAAACGAATTTTTCACACTCAAATCATAATTCTAAAACTTACAAACTCAAAATACAACTCTATTCTCAAATCAAAATTTTAAAACTTTACCAAACACTACCTAACTTTTTTGGTAGTACAAGATTGTATTTTAAAAATATTAATTTTTTAAAATTTTTCTTTGATAGTATATTTTTTAAGAATATCAATTATTATAATTATATTTTTTGTGTTATTAATAAATTTAAAAAAATGATAAAGGAAGAAATTCATATTATTTTGGTCTTTGATTTTTTAAAATAGAGTAATATTTTAAGACAATGAAAAATAGAATAAATGACTAATATTTTGGGATGGAAGAAATAATGTCAAATTCAATTCAAAACGATCTTTAAAACTCATAACCAAATAAATTTCCTCACTCAAATCATAATTTCAAAACTCACAAAATCGCCCAAGTGTTCGATTCTCAAGTCCAAAAGGGTCAATTGGTTAATTTTCGTTCTATTTCCTTTCTTTCTCTCTAATTTTCTCTTCTAGTTATGAACAAGAATGTTTCTCTCCAACTCTCTCCGTCCTTCTCCATCCTTCTCTCTTTTGTTCTAGGAACTAATTAGCTTATCCAGCTATTGGTTTCTTTAGCTTAAGTGGCCATGTTTAACTCAAATTAATCATGCCTATCCACGAAGAAAGAGAATTTACTGAGTAATTGTAGTTTAACGATATTAAGCAAATGACTTAATGTCTTCTAAATCACCTAAGTGTATATATCTCAAGTCCAAAATGATGAATTGGAGCTCACTTTAATTTTCATCCTATTTCCCTTTCTTTTCTCTAACTTTCTCTTCTAGCTCCCAAGAAGAAAGTAGGGGTGTTCGCAGATCGGTTTTGTGTGGTTTGCGATTTGATTTTGACCCGCCCGTATCTATGCGGTTTGGGAAAAAGTCAACCCGCAAACCGCACTGGTTTGCAAATGTGCGGGCAGTTGCGGGCGGTTTGCGGTTTACACTTTTTTCTTTAAAAATTAATTTACGAGTTTTTTTTTCCAACGAATTTAGGCATCAGATTCTTTTTATATATTTGTGATAACAATTTTTTGATGAGTTTACAAATAAAAATTGAATATCAATGCATTAAATAAAAGTAACCAAAACAAAGAGACTCTACACTAGCATTTTTGCTATGAAAAAAATGTATATCAATACATTAAAGGTTGTACTCAATTAGAATTGTCAGTTCAGTAATCAATAATCAAACTATAAGTTCTATCGACCATTAGAAGAAAAAAATTTTTTAAGAAAAAATGGATGAATCACCAATAAAAATCATATAAGAAACCAAGTTTAGGACTTGATAATTCTACGGCATTAAGAAAGTTGAGAAATACTTAAAAATAAGGATCCTAGTGTCATAGAGAATATAATGGTACTCCTGTAAAAGTTACAAAGTTGGTATATATAAAAAAAAATAATAATAATAATAATTAAAGTGCGGGCGGTTTTTGCGGTTTGCGAGTTTAAACCGCGACCCGCCCGCAACTCGCAAATTTGTTATGTTTCAAACCGCATCTGCCCGCATTATGTTTGTAAAACCGCCCACTTATATGCGGGTTGGGCGGATTGAACGGTTCGGATAAACCGTTACCCACCCCTAGTGGCAGAGAACCAGAGAAGTGAGAGAGGGTGGAGGGAGAGATAGTGTTCTCCTCATTATCCTCCATTTAATCAATCTATTCTATTCTATTCTATCCATATACACAAATAACAATTGAGGGCCCGAAAGCCGTGCCCCGAATTGCCCGAAATTTCCATTTCAGGTAAAAAAAAAAAAAAAAAAAGGAAAAAAGAAAGAAAAAAAGAGGACAGTTTCCAAAACTGGAAATTAGGGGTATTAGGGCCAATTTTTTTAGGGCCACCAATCATTTTCCTATATATTACAGTTTGAGATGTGTATGCGATACGAATGAGTCGTCAACCTAACAATATATATATTATAGTTTGAGATCCCAATGCATTGCCGCTAATTGTATATATAATCCAATCCTCTTCTCTTTCGCTTCCTCTCACCTCTATCTTGTTCAACAATTAATTTATATCAGTTTGTTTTTTTTTCAATTTATCGCTTTTGTTTTCTGAGAAAATTTTCATTTGAGTCGGTGTTTAATGCGATTTTCCCGGTTTCGGGTTTGAAATTGAAAACCCTTTTGGTTCTTTGATGCACAAGAGTGCTCAAATCAAAGCTTGTGTTTTTCTTGAAAGCTCGAAACTCGAATTGGGATCAAGAGGTTCGCTTCATGTTCTTTGATCTTGTCTTTCAGAATATTATTGTTTGTTTTTATTTGTTGAAAAGACCATTATTGAGCTATTGATTGAGGTGAATATAGTTGCAATTAACTGATTTTGGGGCTGTTATTCTCAACCCTCGTTGATTTTCTTTCCAATTTGTTGGCGAAACTCTAATTTAGTCACCCACAGACAAACCCATTTGTGATACTGTCTGTATTTATTGATTTGAGAGCCAAAGAAACTCTTTCTTGTATCAAACTCTGTCCTCTCTTAAAGGGAATACTTCATTTGTGTTAATTTTTGCATACGTAGAACTTCATTTTTTTAGAATTATTGGAATTATTTACTCCAGTTGATCAAGCTAACAAGCCAAGTTTGAGCCCCCTTTTTTCCCTGAGATATGGATATTAGTAATGAGGCTAGTGTTGATCAATTCTCAATTGGACCTTCCACGATCATGGGTCGGGCAATTGCTTTTAAAGTCTTATTCTGCAAGTCAATAGCACATTTGAAGCGTCAAATCTTTCATCTGTTGTCATCTTATTTCTATAGAGTTAAGGATTCTTTGAAGAGCTATTTGAAACCTATGATCTCATGGCTTCATCCCCGGAACCCACAAGGGATACTAGTGTTAGTGACACTAATAGCTTTCTTGTTGAAACGGTGCACTAATGTGAAACTGAGGGCTGAGATGGCATATAGGAGGAAATTTTGGAGGAATATGATGAGAACTGCCTTAACTTATGAGGAGTGGGCTCACGCTGCTAAGGTGCTCGATAAAGAGACCCCCAAAATGAATGAATCAGACTTTTATGATGAAGAATTGGTGAGGAATAAGCTCCAAGAGCTCCGGCACCGTCGCCAAGATGGCTCTCTCAGAGATATTATATTTTGTATGCGAGCTGACCTTGTCAGAAATCTCGGTAATATGTGCAACCCTGAGCTCCACAAGGGTAGGCTTCAAGTGCCCAAACTTATAAAGGAGTATATTGATGAGGTTTCAACTCAGTTGAGAATGGTTTGTGATTCTGATTCGGAGGAGCTTCTCTTGGAGGAGAAGCTTGCTTTTATGCATGAAACAAGACATGCTTTTGGGAGAACAGCTTTACTTCTAAGCGGGGGTGCTTCTCTGGGAGCTTTCCACGTGGGTGTGGTGAAAACCTTGGTAGAACATAAGCTTTTGCCCCGGATTATTGCAGGATCTAGTGTTGGATCAGTCATGTGTTCTGTTGTAGCCACTAGGTCATGGCCTGAGCTTCAAAGTTTTTTCGAGGACTCTTGGCACTCTTTGCAGTTTTTTGATCAGATGGGTGGCATTTTTACTGTTTTTAAGAGGGTTATGACTCGGGGAGCAGTTCATGAGATCAGACAGTTACAGATGATGTTAAGGCATCTCACTAATAATCTCACGTTCCAAGAAGCTTATGACATGACTGGCCGAATTCTAGGGATTACAGTCTGCTCCCCAAGGAAGCATGAGCCTCCCAGATGCCTTAATTATTTAACTTCACCTCATGTTGTCATATGGAGTGCAGTGTCTGCTTCATGTGCATTTCCCGGCCTTTTTGAAGCTCAAGAACTAATGGCAAAGGATAGAAGTGGAGAAATTGTTCCATATCACCCACCATTTCATTTGGATCCTGATGAGGCTTCTGGCTCATCTGCTCGTCGGTGGAGGGATGGCAGCCTGGAGATTGATTTGCCCATGATGCAGTTGAAGGAGCTTTTCAATGTCAATCATTTTATTGTCAGTCAGGCAAATCCTCATATTGCACCTCTCCTTAGGATGAAGGAGTTTGTGAGAGCTTATGGAGGTAACTTTGCTGCTAAGGTGCGTGCTAATGCACTTGAGTTGTTGAGTTCTTTTCATCTGTATTCATATTACTTAACAGTTGTTGTAGCAGCTGTGATTAATGTATCTAAACATTCTTATCCCCCGCATACTTTTTGAATTTTGCATATCTTGTGGATAGAGAATGAAAGAAAAGAAACAATGAGTATGAAGGATAGTAAAGTGTATTTTTGTTCACTATTTGGCAGACAGTGCATGACTTTGAATCTCACTAGGATGTGGTATCAATGCCACTCAAATAAGGGTCGTAGAAAAATTTAGCTACTTGGCCAAGTTTTTATCTTTAGAAATCCAGATCCTGGACAAGTTGCCCCTATATTCTAATTATTCGCTCGCTTGAAAGCCCTTTTATATTATTGGTTGTAAGTTCTTTTAACCGGTTGCAAGTTTTTATCTTGTTATATGTTACCAATATGAAAATGCCCTGTGAAGTTGCTCCTCCCTTCTTTTATTATTTCTATTCCATGTAACTAAAAATTGAAATTAAGATGCAAAGTTGACGGCATGTGAAGGATAAAAAAAATTGATATGGTTATTTCTTGCTTGTGTTGGACTGCGCATTGTACTATTGTATTAGACCTGATTCCTGTTTGAGTTTCTGGTGTTTATACCTGACATATATTTTTTTTTGGGTTGATAAGTATGGCTAACATCATATTTGATGGGTTAGGATGGTAGAAAAGGAAATGAATAGGTGAGCTACTTGAGGTTGAGGTGTGGAAGAGTTTCCCTCACCTCACAAAAAATAAAAATAAAATATGTAAGTTTGTGATTGTTAGTTGCATGTACATTTACATTGGACTCCTGACTTTTGACTGGAATATAAACATATCTTTTGAAACAAATGTTGAACCACACATTGGTTGACTTGAAACACTTTGGTAAATCATTTATCAACATTTGGACTCTTCTCCCATTTGTTTTGACCTTCCAGCTGCTAAATTTGAGTCGACTAAATTGAGAATGATCACCATTTTGAAGTCAGTTAGTGCAACTTTTCCATTTCCTTTTCTATTATGATTAAGTACTTCATGATTTTGTGCTTTAACTATGCAGCTTGCTCATCTAGCTGAGATGGAGGTGAAACACAGATGCAATCAGACATTGGAACTTGGTTTTCCCCTAGGGGGCATCGCCAAGCTGTTTGCTCAAGATTGGGAGGGTGATGTCACTGTTGTTATGCCTGCTACCTTAGCTCAGGTGTGTAGAAAGTTAGACTATGATTTTCCTTTTCCTCTTTAATTGAATTTGGAGTGAACAAGCCTTAATTAGGAGAAAGGAGAAAATATGAGAAGAATGAGCTCTCATCCAACAATGAAAAAGCACATTGAACACACAATACAACCTAGGTTCGAGGTAGATGATCTTGTCACAAAAATTTGAAGTACCAACTCTATCGAGCTTTTTATTTATTTATTTTAAAATTTTCAATTTGAGTTTTATGGTGTCCATACACTGCACAATGGGGAGTAGCCTTTCCCTATGCACTTTCCTCTAGTTGAGTCTGCTGCTTCATGATTGACCTCTTTAAATTCGATGGGATAAAAACTCTCATGGCATGTCTGCGAAATTCTCTGGGCTGTTTGACCATCTGAACCTCCAATAGTCCATGATATAGCATTCCTAGAGTCTCCTTTTAAGTGAGGAGTTGGACCCATAACCTCAAAGTGGTGGTCCCAATACTTGAACTCATAACCTCAAAGTGGTGGTCCAAGACTTGAACCCATAACCTCAAAGTATGAAGAGCCCGAAGTATGAGCCAAGCTCGTCTGCTCGGCCATTGCTCTGCAGCGCCAACGCTCTACTCCCCCCAAACTTGCCCAAACGAGACCTTGCTTGACTATGGCCCTTCATCCGTCGTTCCCTTAAGCGGCCAGGAGCACTGTTTGGCCAGAATGCATTCGCCTGATGCTCCCACTAGGCAGTTACGTAGCCATTTCTTATCCTGCCTATGCCTTCCCTATGCACTCACCCTTAGCTATGATTACTTACTACTATCATGGCCATTACTTGACATCCTAGGCTGGGAGCAGGGCTTAGGCATCCATTTATCGGGATCATTAGATGATTCTGGATTGGAGGCTAGGATCAAGGGTTCATCAGGCTCCCTCCCCTTGGGAAGCAGCTCCTCCATGACCAGTCGTAGAGAGTGGGATGTCATCTGACACCTGACATCTCGAAAGAGGTATCATACTTACCAACTATGTCATGCCATGATATACCCTCCAAGATATTGTACCTAACTCTGAAACTCCCATTATACAGCCTCCGAGGTGACTAGAGTCTCTCATTGCCTCTCTCTCTCTCTCTCTCTCAGGCAACCTTAGTTCTCTCCTCCTCCACCTCCACTTCCTGTGATCCTTATCCATTGGTGTGTCCATCATCTTTCCAAAGGTCCATGACCACCCACCTCACAACCTAATACTTATTACAACTTTCATTGGAATTTTCTTTAAGAATTACATTTTCCATTTTCAGAAATCTTGCCTACAAACTAGTCAATAAGTTCTATCTATGTTGTATTTTTCTTGAAACATTTGATCCTTGATGTGTGTGTTGTTGTGTGTGCGCTTGCATATGTTGAAAATTGTACGTTTATAAAGTTTGTGAAAAATCCAAAAGTATGGACTAACAAAATTGAAGTTGATAATTTTTATGAAAACGCCAAAAGTATGAGCTTAGTGATTTTGATTACAAAGCATAAGGTGATACTTTTTTTGAAAACCCCAGAAGTATGGACTTAAAAATATTGGTAACAAAATTTAAACGGACAAATTTTGTGAAAATGCCAAAATTTATGGACTTGCAAATTTGTAAGAAAATCGATAAATTTTATGATTGTCTATATGAACTACATTTGCCTTTTTCAAAAATCTCGTCTTCAAGTTAGTCAAAATAAGTTACGGTCTATGTTGTGGTTGTTCTTGAAACATTTGATTTGATCTTGATGTGTGTGTTGTGCGCACACTTGCATGTCTGTTTGTCCGTTGGTTTGGATAATGTACAAATATATTTTGGTAAATTAACTAGTTCTTTGTTCTTGAATTCAGTATTCCAAAATCCTACAAAATCCATCTCATTTGGATCTTCAAAAGGCAGCTAACCAAGGAAGGAGATGCACTTGGGAGAAGCTCTCAGCCATAAAAGCCAATTGTGGGATTGAGCTTGCTCTGGACGAGTGTGTCGCAATTCTCAACCATATGCGTAGACTGAAACGGAGTGCTGAGAGAGCTGCTGCTTCCTCTCACGGCCTATCAAGCTCTGTCAGATTCAATGCTTCTAAGAGGATTCCTTCATGGAATTGCATTGCTCGGGAGAACTCAACAGGGTCCCTTGAGGAATATGTCATTGCAGATGTTGCCAGTTCGCTGCATCAAGGAGTTGCAGGGTCCACCGGAGGTCACACTGGCCGGAACTTGTGGAGCCACCGTATCGGACACGATGGAAGTGATAGTGAATCTGAAAGCGTTGATCTCAATTGTTGGACAAGATCTGGTGGTCCTTTGATGAGGACAACTTCAGCAGATAAGTTCATTGAATTCATTCAAAATTTGGACTTTGATGGCAAATTGAGCAAAGGAATGATGGGTCACCCCAATAATTTTTTGATTCAGATGGCAGGAAGGGATCCGTACTATCAAAATTCGAGGGTAACAACACCTGATAGAAGCTCGTACGTGGAGTTTGACCAGAGGGATTTAAATAACAGAGTTCCTGTACACAATTCAAGCATTATGGTTGCTGAAGGTGATCTGTTGCAGCCTGAAAGGCTCAATAATGGGATTGTGTTCAACGTTGTCAAGAAGGAAGATTTGACGCCGACAAACAGGAGTCATGATTCAGAAAACAACAGCCTGTCGCAGATTTCAGCTGCTGAATTTATGCAACTTGACTCTCCAGAAAAAGAAATAGATGCAAGCTCAGTGTCTGAATGTGGCGACGATGACATTAGCATAGAAAATCGTCTCAACGAAGTAGATGATAATAACTATGATCATTCTGGTTCGGTTTATGTTAAAGATGATAACAATGTAGTGGATGGTTAAGAATTGAGGATGGTTTTTGCTTGATTGCAACAGGATGGATTTGATTCAATGCTGGAAGTCAAAGCTGAAGTTTTGCTACCAGGAGAAGAGTAGGGATTCTCTGATTTTACGACAGGAATAAAAGTGGAAGCAATTAATACGACAAATGACATGACACTGAAACATACCACATGAGAGTGGCACTTATAAGTTAGCTAGTTATGTAAAATAATTGTATCAGCGCATTGGTGTCATTTTCATTTCAGAATCAGATTTTTGATTGTGTAATTTTTGGCTACTTTGGTTAGCAGCATCTTATGCAGCCATCTAAATTGTTGTAGACTTTCGTCTTCTAAGGGGCGATCAAAAGTCACAGGACTTGACAGCAACTAAATCAAATAAAGTTTTGTTTCCAGAGCTGTACTTTCCCTTCATTATTTCAGCTTGTCCCTTTGGTCCATTGAATGTCATATGTTTAGTTGTATGCTTATTCTCTTTTGCATTCTTTAATAGGTGCAGGAGTTGTGCCATTTACAACATTTTGCTAGTGTTCTGGTGTATCAAGAATTTAGTGTAACCGGGTATCTTGTAGCACGTGGGCTCCATGTATGCACGTGGGGCTTACATATGCTGTGTGCATAAGAAAAATGCTTGGGATCCCTTTTTTTTTTGAGATCCCTATAACCCTTTTTGGATCTCAACCATTGATATATCTGTGGGATCCACTCATATATGTGTGGGATCCACACCATCAATGGTTGAGATCCAAAAGCAGTTGTAGGGGTCCCAAAAAAAGAGGTCTCAATCATTGTTGGTGTGCATAAACCGGTACACTACTTTCTCTGGATGCACAAGGACTATCAGACGGGGCTGTTTTCGGGGGAAGGCAGTGTGTTGTGTTGGGTTGGGGCTGTTTCACATTGAAACTAATCCATAGTGCTGAAGTGAAGTTGGGGAATTAGATGCTTCCATTTTTTGTTACGAGTGCTACTATTAACACCTACTTAATTTTTTTGGATCCTCAAATTCTTACTTATTTTTTTTTATTATAATTATACCATGAAGTAAAATTACATTAAAGGATAACTTTTAATGGCACACCCATCCACCAAATGAAAACAATTAGAATGACCTACAATATTGAACACTCATCTCCATCCCCATCTATACGTATTTCTTACCAAACTAAACCCTAATCGTATTCTTCTTCATCGCCATCCTAAACCCACGTATTCATCTTCAATAAAAAAAAATATTTGAAACTACCTATTCAGTTAAAGTTTTGTTTGGTGATTTCAAATGTGTTCCGTGTTCCAAATCAGTTAATATTGAAAACAATCATATTACAGACTCCGAGTTTTTACATTTATGGTCGTTTTCACCATTCGTTGATACTTGTAGAGTAATGGAGGACGATAACAACAACTCTAATGATGTTGGCGTTGCATTGATAAGTTTATCTATCTTGCATTTACAATTCTGGATCATTTTCGGTTCGGACTGTTAAGATTCTGTTCAGTAATACAGTGTTGAACATAAACATTTTGTTTGGCACTAGAATACTGAACGGTTCTATTTTATAGGATTTTTCTCTTATTTCTGTTTTTTCTGAGGATTTTCTCCTCTAAAGTCTCCTGTAGCGAAGTTTTTACCCCGAAATAAACAACAAATAAATATATAATATGTGATGGGAAGTTAGAAGTTACCTAAGAAAAGAAGAAAGAGGCTGTTGAAGAGATTTCTGACGAGATTTCTAATTGAGATGCTGTTGTTCATGGTGGCAAAGAGAAAGAGACCATCGTTTATGAGAGAAGGAGAAGATAGGGACAATCGATTCATCTCTCAATTGTTTGTTGTTCTCAATCGTTCATTGTTTACTGGAGAGAAGAAGAAGAGAGTGTGTGCAAAATTAGGTGGATGTGCACTTGGGTGTGATGATATTATGAATATGGGTAAAGTTGGTATTAAGTAGAGTGTTCAAAGAAATCTTATTAAAATTTAGGGTTTAAGGTGGGAGTTCAAAGAAATGGGGAGTCCAAATAAATTAGATAGGTGCTAATAATAGCCTTCTTTTTCAAATTTTTTTTTTTTTTAAAATTTTTTTTGTCTTTGAAACAAGCTTGTTTGTGATGTGAATGACACGGGACGTGCTGGTAGTGGAAAACGAAAAAATAAAATAAAATAAAATAAAAATGTTGGTTGTTGGGACAAAAAATGCATGTAGAAGAGTTAGGGATTGTTTGGAATATTCTAAATAAGTACATTTTTTGTCTTTTTGGACTAAAAGGTTAAAGAAAAAAATATGAATGTTTGGGTTAACTTTTTGATTTTTTATGAAAAAATGTGTATTGAAAAATTATATAAATAAGTGTGTAGGAAAAGATTGTGAAGTAAGCCGTATAGGTTGGGCAGTGCAGTCGGCTGGGTAGGAGATGGAAAAAGATTGCCTCCTTTTCGGGCTTTAATTAGAGGGTATTGTTCGGCCCGTGGGGGCCCATCATGGGTCCCGTTTTTCTAATCGGAATCGTTCAATGTGTAGAACTCGTCGAGTACTATATGCTTAAAAAAAATCACGTTGATTGGATATCGATAGCTCTCTGATTGTGTTAGTTTTTTTGTCAACTGTTAACTATAACACCATTCATTTTTTATACAAAACTGATTTGATCGTGTAGTTAGCAATATCCGATAGACGTGATTTTTTACAAGCATATAGTACTAGACAAGTTCTATATATTAAACGGCTCGGATTATCAAAATGGGACCTATGGTGGGCCCCCACAGACCCAAGTTTACCATCTAACTTAGTGAATATACACATGTAATTTTTTTTTTCTTTTCACTGCCTTTGGTTTGACGTCAACTCTTAGAGTGGCGTGAAGTTGATTTATATTTTAATATTATGTATATTAATTTTTTTATATTTTTTTTGGTGAATAGTGATAACTTTTTAACTTTTTTGATAACTTTTTGACTTTTTTTAAAGTTCCTAAACCAGCCCTAAATAGATTTCAAAATTTTGCAAACACCTAATCCAATTTGGGAGAGAAGGCATGATGGCTGGAACAATCATCCACCACCATCCCTAAGAGCATCTCTAATGACAAATACTATAATAGTATTATCATTGCTATAATTTGGCAATAAATAGTAGAAAATGGTAGAATTATAACAATGTTGCTTTAATAGTCAGATACTATTTTGGTAGAACCAAACACAGACGTCCAAACACACCAGTTTCTGTGTTTGGTTCTGCAAAATGGCAGTTTTACAAAATTTATCTGTTTTTTTGGAGAGGGGGAAAGAAGGGAGAGAGGTTTTGGGAACTGTTGGCACATATGACAGTTGTCAAAACTTGTGTCAAATTTGACACATACTTTGGTATTTGCCAAATTTGGCAGCTACCATCTGTGACTATTGGAGCACCACTTTTTTTCTCAATTGCAAAATTATAACTATAGCAGCTCTAATAACAAACTATTGGAAATGCTCTAATATATTACAAGTAAAAAGGCTAGAATAACAAGGGATGTTCCAAACATAGCAAAAAGATTGTAAGCTACAATGCGACACTTTCATTTACTTTCATTTTTTTTTTCTAAAATAAATAAATAAAATCAGTAATTCATTTTCTTCTCATCTTTTTCTTTCTCTTTCACAAATTCATAATCCAAACATTATCTTTAGATCAAATGAAAATGCACATTCTGTATATATACAATCACAGAAATTTGATTAGTTGTTTGGAAATTTTGGAGCCTATGTAGTTTGAAAAGTAAATAATGTTTATTTTTATGTTTTAGACAAATTTTACTTTTATCCCAAAAATATTGGTCATGTGTACGGTTCTTAGTTTTGCACCATTTCCATTAAGAAAAATGATGTATAAACCTACTTTTTTAAATTCATTTTTTAAATCTAAATATGTGTATGTAATATGATTAATTAATAATTAAAGAAAATATGAGAGAAAATTTTGTTTTTAATATCTTAATTAATTGTCATATCATTGAATTCAAAAAGTGAGGTCACTTTTGAGTAGTATCAAAAAAGCCAATTTATTGGATTAGGAAAATGTTTTGGAGTTCTAATTTATGAGCTCTAATAGGTCTAATATGTATGTGAGGTCTATCTGATGTGATATTTTGATCTTTTTTTTTTTTTTTTTTTTTATTTTCCATCTCACTAGAGCTCAATTAGAGCTTTAGTTTTAGAGAAATGTATCATTATTATTTTTCTCTGTTTTTAATTGAGTCTTTCAATTTACTCCTTTTTTGGTATTAGTTATATCTACTTAACTTCTCATAATTTAAAAATATAAGAATATAAGCGCTTGTAATATATATTTTTTGCTAATGCGTTGTTTGGTTATAGTTTTTAAAAATTATTTTCAGATTTTTTTATATTTTAATTATTTTTTTAACATTTAAAATATATCAAGATTAGATACATCTAAAAAGTAAAAAAATAAAGTTTAATTACAATATTAAAAAAATTTATTAAAAACAAATGAAAACCCAAATAAAAATGCACATATTTTTTTGTTCGATTGTTTTTAGTGATTTTTAAAAAATATTTTAATCAATTTATTTTACTTTTTACATGCACTTAATGTGAAGCCCCTGAAAAATGTATTCACTTTAAAAACCCTAATGTTTGAATTATTTTCTTAAAGCCCCTTAGTTCCTGGAATTATTTCGAATCTTGTCGGTTAGCACTTTTATTTTTACTTTTATCGAAACAAGAATATCCTAGCCGGATTAAGTTCCTTAGCCTAATTTAGTTTAATTCTAGATAAGTAAGGTCCCAATACATGAATTTAATTCCAAGCCCTCACTCTTTATTTAAATTCAAAATTTACCTCAAAAACTAGTACATGTACCATTATACTATAAGTACCATCAATCAATTGAGATCTATATATATATACATTGAGGAATATGCCCCTAGTACCTAAATTGATTAAAAAAAAATAGCCACATCACCCTTCCTAATGGCCGGCCACCCTAGGGAGAAGTGAGAAGCCAATTTTCAAGATGTATAATCATGGTATTCTAGAAAACCCAAAAACCTAATACCCTAGACCTAGGATGTTGTTTCCAATACTAGTTCCATTTCAATTAGGAATCAACTAGATGTTGCCTAATCCTGTGATTAAGCTCCTTAATCACTCCTATCCCATTAGACTTCAGGCAAATCCTAACCTTTCTATCCATTTCCAACTAGTGGGCTTTTATGTTTTTTTACACCAAAATTTGCCTATAAATATCACCACCATCCCCTAGCTTGGCAAGCACAACAACACACTCACACGCACACATTCGGCTAGAAGAGAGGAAGGAGAGCAAGAAAGGAGTCTTGAGAGGAAGGAGAGCAAGAGAGAAGTCTTGGGAGGGAGAGGAAGGAAGAAGAGAGCCATCTTGTTCAAACCTTA